TTTCCTTGTTGGGATTCCATCATGTTCCTCAGCTCCTCTATTTTTTTATCTGTGTCCTCTCTAGATTTATTAATCATGTCTTGCACTATGGGCATAATCTCTGCTGTTATCTGAGAAATTATTTCTGATTTCATTTTTTCCAGATCCTCTTTTGTTGCCAGTTCTGTCAGTCCAGATATTTGAATATCAGATTGTACCATTTTGTTGCCCCTTGGGGTTGGTTTAGGTGATCTGGAAGTCTGGTTTTGAGACTTGTTTACGTATCTTCTCATTCCAGCCGGGTGTGTGGGTGTGCTGCCGACGTCCTTGTGGCTCACCTCCTCATTGCTAGGGTGGGCTGTGCTCCTTGGCACTCTGGGGTGGAGGTACAGTGGCCTGAAAGGCTCCCAGAATACATTTCTGAAATAAAGAACCATTTCAAAAGTTGTTTCATATGTCTGAAGTAGATATTGAAATATTTTTAAAAATGTAATATGTTTAATCCAACTTTTGTTGGCCAAACCTCTTCTGGATATCCTTAGTTATTTCATTTGCTATTAGAAAAAATTTGAACTTAATTCAAAAAGCTGGTTCAAAACCATGGTAAATATTTTTCTGTATTTAATCTTTATGGGTAAGAGTAAAATAAAATTAAATGTTTGTAACTCCCTTTTTAAACTTTTTTTTCTGTAAGAGTAATTGTGTTCTTTTTCAGGATTTTCTAATAATGTACTTATTTCTGAAGAGATCTCAGGATGATAATTAAGAAGTAAATACTTGCCGCAGATTTAGCTCAGTGGTTCTGCCACCTGCCTCACAAGCACAAGGTCCCGAGTTAGATCTCCGGTACAAAAAAAAAGAAGTAACCACTTATAGATATTTAAGTCTAGTCTAAATACATTTTTAATATTTAGTTTGTTCTTTATAGTTAAAAAATATTTCTGAGTTAAAACTCATGATTATGCACCTGCAGGTGATTTGACATCACTGGTCATCTTAATTTAAATCTAGCTGGCTGGGCATGGTGGTGCACACCTGTCATATCAGCCACTTGGGAGCCAAGGCAAAAGGATTACACATCCAAGGCCAGTCTGGACAATTTAGTTTGTAGACTAGTATATAGACCAGTCGGGACGTGTTAGTGTGAAGACTCTATCTCAGAATAAAATAAAATTATAAAATAGGACTGGGGATATAGCTTAGTGGTCCAGAGCTTGCCTAGCATGTGCAAGGCCTTGGGTTCATTCTTTAGTACTGCAAAAACCACAACAAAGCACAATAAAAATAAAACTAACTATACTTGAAATTTTGTTACCATTTGATTTCTAGCTTTGGACATTCTCCTGCCCCTTCATCATTTGTTTACTCACACTGTTTTTATAAATAAACTTGTTATCAAAGAAATTTTAAAACAAGATACACTAAAGTGCTATTAACTAGAGTAATTTCTGAATGGCTAAGATTGTAAATTTTACTATTTTATTTAGTTTTCTAAATTTCTTTAATAATCTTTAATATACTAAGGAAAAATGCTTTAAAATGAAAAGATTTTTTTATGTTTATATGAGGTAAAATTCATCTTAATTTATGTTTCAGAATCCTTTTTCCCGGAGGAGGCGCTGATCTTGAGAAGTCAGGCTATGCTAATGTCTCCAAAATATTTTACAACTTGTCCAGACAGGTATATATATCAGTAACTTGCTTATCATTTTAGGTGGGTTTTGTTAGTTTCTGTGAGAATAATTCTTTTTTTAAGCATTTGGTAATGTTTCCTTTATAATGACTCTCATTTCATTCCCTTACCTCTAAAGCATCTGTTCTTCAGCAGTGGCTGGTCCTGCCCAATTTTTGTTTGTTTCATTAATTCGAGGCTTTTTGGTGTGGGCATATGAATATGTGGCTTAACCACTTACCAGTCCAATTATTTGATGACCAAAAATTATATATTTTTGTTAATTTGTGTAAGAAATTATAGCAAGAAATATATAAATGATAAATTTATCAAATTTATTCAATAACTTTTCTGTGTATGGTATATCTTAAAACAGTCAATATACAGTGCAACATTACAATCTGGACAGTAAACAGTACTCTTTTCATTGTCTTATTGGCCTTTTATTATTTTCTGTGGGTGGTATAATTTTAATAAAATATCTATCCACTAAACACAATGGTGAAGACATCAATGATGGACATTTTGGTTGGTAATTTGGTATCCTGTATTTTTCAATTATTTGGTCTATTAGACCTAATCTAAGTTGTAACTGACTTTTTGAACCCCCTTGTTTTGAATAAATAACAAGTGAGTTCCATATTGTTTGGTCCAGAAGGTGCATAAAATTTTATAGTAATATTTTTTCCATTCTTTTTGATTACAGGATAGCTTGTTCAATGTTGGTCAACTCTGTCAACCCTACTCATATAGAATTATTATAATCATTGACCACTATTAGAATTTTTTTAGTTTCATTTCTTCTTTCAAGTTTTATCATTTCTATATTATGAATAGTTGACAATAAAGAGACACCTTCTTTGTCTTTCCATTTCCTAACATAGACTTTTCCTCTGTGATATGCTCACATTTCTCCCTTTTTCAGTTTTTTCTTTTGCAGATCTTTTGGCACTAACTTCCTATTCAGTCTCAGTGTCCCAAATGTGTCCATTTTGTATTGTAAAAGAATATCATTGAGTTCTGGAGAAGTATAAAATTTTATATAATAGACTTATGATAAGAGTTTTTATAGATTGTAGCACAAAATTATAGGTCATTTTTCACAAATAAAATAAACACAAATTAGTAAAAGAAAATAACTAGAACTTTACTAGATTTCACTAGAAATAAACATCAAAGGCAAATGCAATGTTCTAAATAAAAAAGTATACCAAAAAAGTCAATATAAAACAAACAGATGTACAAGTGTATCTCGTGCAACCAAGAATCAGCTGGTTAAAAATGACACCTGCCCAAGTGAAGCTTGGGAGTCAGTATGTAAACAAACTCCCTGCCCTGGTGATACCAGGGATAAACTGTTCAGTGGTTAATAATCCCAGTATCTCCCCTTGGCCTCATATCTTCTTTTTATGTAGTCACCATTTTTCTATGTTACTGATTTTTAATCTTCTCTTGAAATCTTCTCTTCTTACCAATTCATTCAATTTCTTTTGATCTTTCTTCACAGTTGTCTTAGGACACTTTTATTTACCAAGAAACACCTATGATTTTTCCTTTGCAATCGTTTACATGAGGCTTACCTTTGTACCATAGTTTAGACCTTTATGTTTCTCTCCTTAACTATTAACAGCCATTTTCTAGTTAATCTTTCTGGTTTTAGTATCTCCTTAACCTTCCCTTTAGTATCTCCCTAAATAACTGCTTTTAGCATTTGAAGTACTTGCTTAAAATCTTTTAATAGCTATACCAAACAACCCATGACCTTTTATAGTCTTTGGGACAAGATATATAGTGTTGTGCCACAGCTCCCTCTTTCTAGCCTGTATGAGAGCTTGGTCTGAATACAGATTAATTAATTGAAAGTCTACTTACAGATCCTTGAAAATTCTGTAGAAACCCATGAATAACTAGGGTGCTAGCTGGTAACTGCTAACCATATGTATAATTTTTGTGAAAAATTTGAATCAACATTGTTTTTTCTTTCTTACGAAAGAGTTTTGATGATGGAGACTATTTTCCTGTGTGGGGTACATGCCTTGGATTTGAAGAGATTGTCTATCTGATCAGTGAGGAAAGGTTATTAACTGTGACAAATACTGAGAATACAACATTGCCATTGAGCTTCACTAAAGGTGAGAATATGCCTCCCAAACATTTTAAGTATGGTTAATGAACAGGATTGGTAAGCAGCAAGTATCAAAGTAAAGAAAAATGCTCATAACATTTTAAATTTATTTATGCAGGCTGCAGATATGAGTGATTATCCCTTGTATTCATTTGTGAGGACAACCTAAGAAATTTTGAATTTTTTCTTTTCTTTTTTTTTTTTGAGAAAAGTTCTCTGTGGCACAGGTTAGTGATGGTAGTGTGCTCTAGATTATTTCAGGATGGGGCTGATGGTCAGAAAGACTGGCACCACATGATTAGAGTATCGAGACACTGAGCCAGCTCCACTTGCAGGGATGGGAAGGACCGGGAACTGAGTTCACTCATGTGGTCAGTAATTCAATGAATCATGCTTTTGCAATGATACTCCAATAAAAACTCTGGACATTGAAGTTCGCTGGCACTACTGGTTATTGAGTAAAGGCAGCACTTTCTTGAGTTCTGAGTGTCATTGTTGGTGATACCATCACCTCATCAGTATAATAAAGACAGTCTTATCACTCAGAAAATTCAAAGAGCAAAGATCAGACCTGTTCTTTAGTATATCATGTAGTATAAGTAGATATGATTCTTAAGGGTACTGGGTACTTATCTCTGGGTCATTACAATTGAATGCTACCAACTGTTCCTGTTCTGATAAGGATTTTGGAAGGAGAGTCATAGTAGTCATACATAGAGCCTATATAATGCTTTATACTTCTGAAAGTTGTTTCTTCCATTATCTCACTTAATCATTACAACAACCTTGTAAGAAGTATGTGTTTTTGATCAAACTACATCTTGGTGCCATGTGGCAAAACCCAGTTAATACCATAAGAACTAGAATTTCAAGCTATGGAGTTCTCATGGAAGCCATTAGCAAGAATGAGGGGCCTGATGTGGAACATCTGTCATCAGAGACTTGAGAACATCAGAATATTTTTTTATAATCCTGTTGGTATTTGAGTCTGTGTGTGTAACTACAGAGTCTTTAGTGTTGACCACTAAGCTATATTCCTTCTTTGATCTGTTTACTGCCTAAAAATTCTGTGGCTTGGTTAATGTTTTTTTTTTACCTTGTTGGTGTTTTTTAACCTTTTAAATCTGAGATGCCTTTGACAATATGTTAAAAATTTTGGATCCTTTCTCAGGAAAACAAGTATGTACAGATTTGGAAAATTTTATCTGTTTTTCAGAGATGTCTTGAAATCTAGAGTTAAGTTTCTCTGCTTATTGTTTTGTTTGTTTGTTTTTTTCTTTTTGGTACCAGGGATCGAACAAACTCAGGACCTTGTGCTTGCAAAGCAGGCTGCGGAACCACTGAGTTAAATCCCCAGCCCGTCTCTGCTTGTTTATTGCTAGCCTACACATTCTCATATGAGAACAATCTTGTTTATTCATATTAAAATTCTAGGAAAAAGATTCTTAAGTCTGGAGGATATTTGGATTTATATTAAACACATTTTGTACTTCACTGGAATACTTCCACAGAAATGACATGTTTTGCTTATCATCTTGATTATGTCTTAATAATGACATGTTTTTGGCTATAGATATTGTGACTGAAGGAGATTTTTTTCTTGTGTTTAAATTATTTTTCTGTGCATAATTATTTCAGGTGCATCAAAGAGCAGAATGTTCCACAATTTTCCTCCTGACTTGTTGCAATCATTAGCAGTAGAACCTCTGACTGCAAATTTCCACAAGTGGAGCCTCTCCATTAAGGTATCATATTAGTTCAACAATTAAATTAATATATTTAGAATAACTGAAAAATTAATCATTTTGCTTTATTTTTATACTCTAGAATTTTACGATGAATAAAAACTTAAAGAAGTTTTTCAATGTATTAACTACAAATACAGATGGCAAGATTGAGTTCATTTCATCAATGGAAGGTATGAATCCTGCAGCATGTATACTTTATTAATTTGGACTTTACATATCTCCTTGCTTATGAATGGAATCGTATTGTTTTGGGGCCTGCAGATGGAAGTGAGGGCATTTTGGAAACAGGAGGCATACTTATCCATGTTCCAAATCAGTTTACCTGATATTTTCTAGAATAAGGTGATAAAGAAGAAAAGAAAAGAATAGCAGGTTGGGAGGAAATGAAGCACAGGACTTCTGTTTGTAACACGGTGACAGGTTAAGGACCTTAACAGCTTTTCCTCCAGAGAACAACAAAATATGTAACTGATGGAGAAAAATATCTTTTAAAATTCATTAATGAAGTTCAAAAAATAAGGATATTCAAGCCCCAAACTCTTGAGTTGACTGCATTATTGTTGCAGCATTATTGTTGAATCAGCTGACTGAAACAAAGCTCAGGACTTGTTACTTGGAGGGTACTCCTTGGAGCAGGACCTAAAAGACTGTGTACCTCAGACTATTCCTGGAATCCTGACCACAGAGCTGCAAGGGGGTTGGCCATCCTGAACATTCACTGAAGGAGTTAGGTAACTGAGATAAGCCTTGAGCTCTCATAACGATGGGCTGGTCTCCTAGTATGGCCTGTGTTATTCTAACTGGGAAGTTGGACAAATCTCAAGTCAAGAACATTGTTTAAAGTTTTCTTAGACTGGTAGTGCACACTCATATGTTGCAGAAGCAAATATAAGTTAATTCTGTTGGGAAGACCATATATTCGTTCCAGGCTTCTAGCAATTTCTTTGTTCCAAATCTCTAATACACAAGGAAGCAGAGTACCATTTATGACAACTTGCAGAAATAGCAGATACAGAGTCAGCTCTGCACAAACCTTCAATACTAGAATTATGAGATACAGTATATTTTATAACTATATTTTAAGTTTTAAAGAAATAAACTCTCAAAAATATAAGCATGAAACAATCAGATTTGGAAAGAATTCAATTTAGTTACTTGAAATGAAAGCAATTTAAATAAAAATTATTAACCTGTCAGAAGACAGGTTAACCAGAGGGTTAGTTAAAGCGAGATTAGTGAGCTACAATAGACAGTAGATCTGAAGGAAGAAAACATTCAGAATCTATCACAGGCAGCCAGAAATATAAAATGTGTTGACAGAAAGGTGGGAATTTGGAGGCTAGTGTTGAGAAATTCTAACATACACATCCAGAAGTCTGGAAGGCAAGGAGGCAAGGGGGCTAGTGTGACATAGACACTCTTTTTCTTTATTGAAAAAAAGTAGATAAAAAAATCTAAGTGGAAAAGGAAACTGTAACAGGTTTTAAAGAAAATAAAGAAGAAGAATATCTGACAAACAATACAGGAAAATACTGATGAATTCAATCAAATTAAAAAGTTGTGTTCATAAAAATAGCATAAAAGTGAAAAAGAAATATAATTTATACAACTGACAAAGGATGTCTGTCTTATATAAAGTAAAATCATGTTTAAGAAGAAAAATTAGCCAATTAAAAATGGAGAAGAGATTTGAATAGGTCCCTTAGAAGAGAAATTTGATTGTCCTGTGCACATGTGCCTCAGTGAGATAAGTTGCTCAGTATATTTACTAATTAGGATAATGCAAATGAAAGCCAAAGTGGAAAACCATCTTAAAGCAGCAAGATTGGCAAAATTTAGAAGTCTGCTGGTCACAGGTACTACCCAGGATGTGGCACAGTGAGTGAATTCATGTACTTGTGGTTGGAGTGGAAATGGCCACCACTGCATTGGAAAACATTTTAAAATAACATTTTCTAGTCCTCTTATTCAATTGTTGTATCTTTGATTTAAAAACAATACTTTAGTGAAACCTTTCTGTGTAAATAGAAATGAATGTGATATTATTGTTTATACTAGTAAAAAAAGAAAAACACTTCAAATATCCAACAGTACGAAGAATAAATAAATTAATGCAACAGCATACTATATAGCTGCTAAAATCAATAGCACACTTGCATGTGTCAATGAGTGTTGAAAACAAATTTCAGTTAAAGAAAAAAAAGCTGAAAGAGATATACAATATATGTTTATATGTTTTCATTTATATGATGTTCCAAGCTTGGCAAAAAGGAAACATTGTAATGTTTGGTGGTAAATGTAAATAAAGCAGAAACGACTAATTTATTACATTTTTTACTGTGCTGAAGGGAAAGGAGTGCAGTTTGGGAGGGACAGGAGAGGTTTTATTAGTTATATTTTTTATCTCAGTCTGGGTGATGGATAATCAGGTGCTCATTTTATTTCTTAAGCTGTGTGTATATATTTTCAAAAATTTTTTCAAATAAAAGATTTTTTGAAATTTTAGAAACTTGAAAAGTAGCTAGAGGAAAGAATGTTGGAGGAATAAAAAGTAGAAGAAACCAGGGAAAATAGAATAAATAGTTTGTTCATTGTGTAAGTTGGCAGCCATGCCACTGGGTCCGAATTAACTTTTTTGTCCCTGAGTTGTACTAAGAAGAATTAAAGGAAAAAATTGTAATCCATTATGGTAACCAACAAAGTTGCTGTGATAGCTGTTTTGTTTTATCTTTCAGTAAAAATAATGAAGTTTAAGATGCCAGTATTTTTCAGGCTTGAATATTAGCTGTACACAGGGACAAATGTTAGTAAATCCTAATATAGTAAAGGATACTATGCCCTGATAGTCCTGGTGAGGCAGAATAATCTGAGTGTTAAAGGTTGATTGTGGATATGGTATGAATTAAATGTGTTGATATATATGGATATTTTCTTTTTTCTGTTAAATAATACCTATCTTTAATGTATATATCTCAGTAGATGTATACCAGTATTTAGATATCAACTTGGGTATATTCTTCCAAGTATGTATGTTATAGAGTATTTCTCACCTATGTGTATAAGCAACTATCTCCTGGAGAAGTGGGAAGTTTCCCAGTACTGGGTAGCATAAGTGGTCACACAGTAGCAATAACAAAGTAGCAATAAAAGTCTTGAAATGCAGTGCAAGGGGTGTTTCAGCTAAAAGTTCTAAGAGATATCATTTTACAGAATTTGGCCTCTGTATCTCCAGAAGATAAAAAAATGAGGGCTGGGGATTTAGCTCAGTGGTTCTGCTGCCTGCCTTGCAAGTGTAAGGACCCAAGTTCGATCCCCGATACCAAAAAAAAAAAAAAAAAATGTGTGACTGTAAATTTAAGAGCAGCCTCCTGGGCACATAGTTTGATGGAGAAGGCAGATAGGTACTGGGAGAAGTTGGAAGTAAGAAAGGAGCCCAGAGGGCATTCCATCTGTTTTAAGTCAGGGGGACTCTTCACCTTGTTTTTGATAGGTGAGGCTGTCTAGAACTACCTGAGAGGACAAGGTACTGGATTAAAATAAACTACAGTGAAGTGGAAGTAGTTCATGTTATTCAAAGATTGGCCATAATCTTGTGTTTAATCCATTCTTTATAAGTAAAGAACTAACTTATAAAGAATAGAGGTTTGTTTCCGTCACATTTCCAGAGCTGAAAGTTCAAGAGCATGGCACTGTCATCCACATCAGCATCTGATGAGGGCCTTCTTGTTGCATCTTAACATCACTGAGTACATCATGGTGGGACACAGCAAGCATGCTAGGTCACGCTACTTTCCCTATAAATCCACTAATGCTATCATGTAGCCCCACCTTCATACTCACCTAATCCTAATTACTTCTCAAAGACTCCACCTTCACATACCATTAACGTGACACTGGGAACTGTTTCCAGTACGTGAATTCTGTTGCACACATCCAAACCATAGCACACTGGTCAATCTAGTTGGTGGCCATCAATGTTTAGAAATAATATCCATCCAGGATATTGTAAGAAGTATTGATTGACTTAACATGAAGTGAGTTTATCATCTCTCGAACCCTATTTTCCCTGCTGAATTTTTTATATCAGTTGGTGACATCACAATTCACCAAATCATCCAGACTTAGAAACCTAGAACCATCCTTGACTTCTTGCCCTCATTTTCAAGTTCTAAAATACTCATGCCAATTTCTACTTCCCAAATTTTTCTTGAGTTTGTCTCCTCCTGCCTATCCAGTCCATCTCACCTTGCTTCAGAATTAACTGCTTTCTACCTGAATTACCTCCTAACCATTCCACACATCCATCTTCCAGCCAGTCCCTGGTGATCCCTCTGAGATGCCAATGTGATCATGTTGCTTGAACAAAACCCCTCAGTGGCTCTTCACCCTTGGAGAATAAAGTCTAGATTTACCAGGTCATTTACTGCACACGTCTCTGTGCTTTCCCCTGTAGCCTGTGTTCCTATGAGAATGGCTCGATGCATGGCGGTCCCCACATAGCAATATCCTCAACTCTCTACTGCTTCTCGTGTTTTTTTCTCTTCTCTGAAAATCTTGTTTCTCCCCACTGCCTTCTCCTGATGAACTCTCAGCTATCTTGAAAGACTCAGGTCAGCTGTCTTCTTTGAAAGGCCTTCTCTACTGTTATTCCTTCTCTCCACATCTTCAGTCTCTTTATACTTGCTTTGTTGCAACCTTTTATAATTTGCGATACCTCAAGAAAGAGTCCCATCATAAAAGAAAGTTGTGTCACTAAGTAAATGTGCATTTGAAGCTGGGGATGTAGTTCAATGGTAGAGCATGTGCTAGGCATGTGTGAGGCCCTGGGATCAGTCCACAAAAAATAGCACAAAAACAAAACAAAAATACGCACTTGACTGTTGAACTTGGATATATTCCAAGGCTGAACTGTTTGTTTGTTTTACTTTACTATGACTACTTGGAAAAGTGAAATATATTGCAAATTGTAAAACACTGCACATTAGTGAAATATTATTGGGATTTTCACATTGACTATGAACCTAAATTCTTTGTGTCTTAGAGAATGTGTACAGTTTTTTTTGTCTAATATAGTGAGTTATAAAATAACGTTTTACATAGGACATGAAACAATTTAACTATAAGTAACATCTTAAATCATTCTTAATTTGTGTTCTTCATACAGGATATAAGTATCCAGTATATGCTGTCCAGTGGCATCCAGAGAAAGCACCTTATGAATGGCCAAATTTAAAAGGAATTTCCCATGCACCTAATGCTGTGAAGACTGCATTTTATTTAGCAGATTTTTTTGTTTCTGAAGGTGATATGTGGCTACATGATTTTAGCACTGTAGTGTAGTTTTGAAGGAAATTACTATTATTTGGGTTTTTATGTACTCTCTTGTTCCATATGGTCTATAGGTTTAATTTAAAAAATAACAAATATTAAATAATATGAAAGCTCTGAAATTGAGGAAGTAGTATTCCGGTAAAACCAGAAGAATTTTTTTTCAATAATATCAATAATTTAAAGAAAGTTGAGTTCTTTCTTTTTTTTGTTAACATTTCTTATTTAGATTCTACTCAGTTACTTTTTTTTAGGAATAATGCTAGAATTATAACAACTTCTGAGAATTAGACGTTATTTTTTCAAGGCAATGCTATGAAATCAGTGTATTCCTACCATTTAAGACTACTTGTCTGTGGCCATTATCACACTGGAGAAAGTTAATAAGCTTTGCCTGATTTTTGTGATGAAGATACAGATTTTCATGCTATTTTATGCTTATGGATTAAGTGTGGAGTTTGATTGTAGATCCTTATTTTTAGTAGAGGGATATGGGTACAGTAAAACAGGTAGAGATGCAGCTTGCCAGAAATAAAGCATCACTTGGAGGAGTCACGCCAATTGAAGAGATTAGTGGACCTTGTGTTCTTCTTATCTCCATTTTGCCCCTAACTTTTATTTATCCTGCTATGCTTACTCAGAAGCCAAATACTTCCTTAATGAATTCATTCTGCTGTAGAATTATGCCCCTGAACAGCTGATTTCATGACAAAACTCCAATTTAACAAAACCCCGAAACTCCTTTTGCAGTATTAGTCCAAAAGAACATTTTCCTGCTGTGTGAGAGAATCATTGAGAACAGTAGTGGGCAGAACAGGCTTTGTTGCAGTTTTGGGAGCCTATATGTACTTTACTTTGGTTTAAGGATAAAATTCTAGTTCTCATCCTCATCTCCAAACTTTAGCCAGACTAGACATTATTGTACCTCCAGTTCTGTCTTGTCTGAAGTGCCTGACTTCTCCATCTGCCTTCACTTCACCGGTTTCTTCATCCTTTTTGCTCTTGTAGCATCTTAGTGAAGGTAAACTAGAAACACAGCACCATTTAGATTCTGTGTGGATAATGGTCTAGACCTCTTTAATGTTAGACCTTTGTCTTATCCATGTTTCTATCTCTGGGCTCTTTATCCATCACTTACAAATGTAGCCATTTAGTAAGTGAATGAATCAAGGAGTAAGGACAACATAGGATCTGGTGTGGGTCAAGTACAGGTGCTGTATCAGAAGACCGTCGTGTCTAAATCAGGCACTACCATATTTTGGGGGAAATTTTATAAAATATTTCCTGTCTTGTTGGTATTTTTTCTACTTAATAATGTTGATTGTAGGGAGAAATATTATAAAGTAGTATCCTGAAAACCTTGTCATCCAGTCTTTTTAAAAACACTTTTTTTTTCCTTTTCAGCTCGGAAAAACAATCATCACTTTGAATCTCAGTCTGAAGAGGAGAAGTCCTTGATTTATCAGCACTCTCCAATTTATACTGGAAATGTTTCTTTATTTGAGCAATGCTACATGTTTAATTGAAAATTTTCAATGTATTAATGACCAGTTGTGGATGATTCCTTGATTAAATTGTTGAAATTACTTACTAATCATGGTACAATTAGAAAACCACAGAGATTTCCTTTCTATGCACATGACTCTGATTGTTCATTCAGTATAGGATTATTTATAGTGCATTTGATAATTTAACAATGAAATAAAATCAGAGTGTTTTTCATGGAAAAGTCATCCAAGATCTGAAGATTAGAAAAAATGATTGAAAATGGAATTTTTTTCTAATTTATTGATTCTAGAAATGAACATCACCTCCTTCCTACTCATTCCTTTTTTGCTGAAGACTTTTCAAATTCTGCCTCTTGTTCCCTGTGATGCCTTCCTCCTTTGGGTTTCAGGGGTATTTTGTGTGTGTGTGTGTGTGTTTGTGTGTGTGTGTATGTGTGTAGAGATACACAAAAATATCTCCTTCACTGTATTTCAGTTCCACAGTTAACGAGCACAATCCTGAAAGTGGAGTCTGTCTTGAAGATTTTATCTTCCAAAATGCCTAGCCCAGTAGGCCTTTGATAAATACTTGTGACTACTTGTAAATGAACCTTTCCTCCATAGAAAGTAATTAAAAAGCAGTCAGACATTAAATATTATGGTAAATTTAATATATTTCTCAATCTGTGCTGCCTCCACCCCTCACCATCCCATATAAACCCTCAAAAGTCTGAAATTTAGGAATTCCTTGAGGATAAGCAAGCTGTTGGAAAAGAGAAAAATTTTAGCTCTTTCTAATAAGTAATTTTATGCTTCTGTTCTTTGTGGTCTTCAGAGCTGTGGCAATAGAAGATAAAACATGAGAAAATGGAAAAGATGTTGGAGGATATTACGGGTGATGTTATGTGCAGAAAAATGGAAACATTAATCTGAAGATAAATCATAATCTTTGGCCAGGAGGGACAAATAGAACAGAAATTGGAAGGACTGTCAGATCTAGTTAGCTAGAAAAGAACTTTAATAGCAGCATGGCAGACTTAGTTGCATTGTTGAATCCCTTATTGCCATATGTACCCTTCCTGGACAAGTTCTTGTCTCCCACCACTGGAAAAGGAACACTATTACTTCTCACCATAGCAAGCCTCTTCCCGGCCCATTTGTAGTGCAGCCATACAGATCTGTTTGTCTCAGCAGAGTGCTAATAACTGCATCAGTCCTTCTGCCCATGATACTGGCTTCCAGTTGCTCCTACAGGTTCTTACTCTACTTTATTGATGATGACTACAATGCAAGAAAATGTGAATGATCAATTATTTTCTGCTCTTGTTAAATTTAGCATTTTCCCATCCATGTATTGTTTGAAATCTTCATGCTGGACTTAATTTATTCCACATACAGAATCTCTTTCAAAGTCGCCCATACTCCTGCCTTCCATATTCCACCACCAGCAGGAGGATAGGCAAGGGCTTGAGAATGAGTAAGAAGACCAGGCCATTAAGCAAAGAATGTCCTTCCGCAAGCCAGACACCACTGTGTCAGAGGGAGCAGAAGACACTGGCTAGAAGATTACTGCTGATGTTGCTGAGCAATAGTCTGGGGAGCCCCTAAGGGACTAAGTGGCAACTTCTGAAGGCTTCCTGACAGTAGTATGGAGCATGGGAACGGTACAGGGCACACACTTCTTTGTTAGCAAGAGGGAACGCAGGTTAAAAGAAAGTCACTAAGAGTTTGTGTGAATTAGAAAAGGAAGAAACAGAAAAAAAGAGCTAGTGTGTAGCCTTCCCCAGCCCACAGCTGATTTCAGTTCTGAAAGGTTTTTAGAGAATATTTGCCAATGTTCTTACCCCCAGCTTTCTTATTCTCCTACCTATGTGGAATATCTGGAATGGAGCGAAAATGTTCATCCTAAGGGCCCATGCTGCACTCATTTCTATTCAGCTGGATGGTCCTAGGGGCCCACAGTTGTATATAAAGTGAGGCCCAGCACAAGATATTTAATGAAAGGCTGTTGAGTGTCTCCATTTCCACACTGCAGAGCAAAATCTTGTCAGTAGGCTGAGACTGCAGTTAGGATGATAGCTTCCAAAAGCACAGTGAAAACTCACGTGAACGTACACAAGCCCAGTGCCTAACACAGTAGGACTTCAGTAAGGGCCCTGATTTCATTGCTTCTCTCTCACTGTAGTAATAGATAAGCCCTACATGCACGCAGGATCTTCCTGTTCTTAAAGAAATTGCAAGAAAATACGCCATTAGATACTTTCTTCTTGTGGGAAGAATTAAGAAATAATTCACTCCTCAGAACAGAAGCTTTGTTATGCTGGTAGGAGTAATATTACACTTAACAAACCTTTCTATTTATTCTAACATGAATAAAGCTTTTACTCCATATATCAGTTTCATTCTAAGATGAATTAACCAAGGCATTTTGCAGTAATACATGAGACACACTAGATGTCAGGAGAGAACCAGCTAACCTAACATTTACCTGGTGTTTGCATTTAACCATTTATGATTGTTGATTTTAGGGAACTTTTAAATCTAAACAACATTTATTGGTATGATTATTATATGTATTTAAATACTAAAGGTTGTATAAACAGAGTTATTCTTAGTGCAGGATGTTCTCCATTCTAAGAGGAAGTCCTGAGTGACTTAATGAAAAACAATTTTAAGTATCTATTAAAGGGCAGAAACTTTCATGTACATGAATGTATGGACTGTATATAAAATTCAAATCTCCTTTCCCCTGCTGCCTAACTGGGAAAAAATCTAGGTGAGGGAAATTTTTTCAGGGTGGGTGAAGAGGTAGGCCCGCATACACCGAGAGATGCTTCTGGGGAGGCCTTCAGGAAAGGGCCCCAAATCCATCCGGAAGTACAGTACTCCTGGATCATCTGTAAAGACATGGGGAGGAGAGGAGAGGTGTTTTAAACAAAGGCGGACATGGCTTGTATGTTTTTACCTACAGATTCTCATCATAATGTACTCTAACTCTTGTCATAGTTTCTTCATCAAATTTAAGGAAACATTCTTAATGATTAATTTTCATTTTTGGACATGTTCCTTTTCGCATAAATTTGGCATGCTTTTAGGCTTCCAATGTCTGACACTCCTTTTGATTTCTAATTTTGAGCCAATCTGTTTCATAATGTATATATATATATTATCTTTAGAATTTACAATGTCACTTTAACATCTTTTGCTAAAATTACTTCAAATTAATCCCTTTCAAAGTTATTCAGGAAGAAACTCCTGGGTTTCTGAGAATTAAAGAATCTCAGCATGGGAGAGAATTTAGATTATCATGGTGGGCAATGGGAATTTGTTATTTTCATTAATGAAGCCTAATCAATATTTGTTTTAGGATAGCTGGATTGAGTTGAACTGTTCTTAAACTAGAAAATCACAATTCTTTCTTGTCTGGTCCACGTGTTATTACCTCCAACTTCCCAGAGGACCAGAGTGGGAAAGACTACCGGTGGCAGGATTCCAAGGATCACGTCCTAGTTCTGCCATTTCCTAACTGCATAACCTTGGGCAAATTTTGTGTGGTTTGATGATGAAACTCTGTTTATACCCTGAGTACTCCAGGGCCTTTGAAACTATTCTTCAAATTTTTAAGTCTGAGAATCTAAAAAAATTACTCAGTACACTTTTTATAAAATGAAATAGCATCATAAAAGTTTTCAACTTGAATTAGAATAATAATTTTATTCTTTCAATAGTTAAAGCTATCCTTTCTCTTCTAATTTGATAAAATAAATGGAAATGAGAGTGGGCATTTCCTCTTTTCTTCCCTTTCTTGTTAAATAATCTAAATTATTTAGTTCCTCTTTATTAGTTTTCTCCCAGAAACAAAGGAACGAGTAAGTTATGTTTGTAAATTTTGGTAAAATTAAAGATAATAACTGACCCCTATTTTTATATATAGCCACACAGCATAAATTTAGAAGGATCTTAGAATAGACTTTAGTAATGTCACAATAATAATTTTTAAAAATGAATTAATATATTTGCATTATTTCTTTCCTCTTGGCATGTTTTCACACAGTTGCACATACAGTTTGTGTCCTGGTTCTTTTGCTTAACTGTGCAACCATCCCATCTGGCTGGATCTTTGCCCTTTGGGAGAGTTGAATGACTGAGCATTTAAGCTGAGCTCAACAGCTCAGGAATGGTCAGCAGAGGAGGTGGATAAGTGTTCAACCAGGGAAAGAACTTTACTTGACATAGTCCAAACTTGGACAGTGGAGCAGATCCAAGCCAAAGTGCACAAAGGGAATAAGAAAGTGCAAGAGAAGAGGACTAGAGGAAGTCTAGTAACCAGACAATGAACCTAGACTGAAGAAAGCTTCAGGAGTGAGCAGCTTTCTGCAAGCCAGCAGGCTGAGTGCCTGTGTCTAGGGAAGACTAAGGCTCAGTTTATAGTGGTCAGGAGGATGGTGGGGCATTTTTTTCTGTTTCAGAGATATGTTTCATTTTTATATCTTAAAAATTATCAGCATTTGCCCTCTTGGGACATGTAAACCGGTCACTTTAAAGCTAGTACTAGCTGACACTAATTCCTCTCCTCTCCTCATAATTCTCCTGAGTTAGAATTGCTCCAGACCACCAACCACTGCACAATCCCAACCTTCTCTCTTCCATGTTCTCTCTAGTCTCCCTCAGGAGTTCGATAGCCAGGCTGGTTTTTCTTTTACTTACCCAGCCTCCTTGGGTGTGGAGGCCTTTGGGAGGTGTCCTAGTTTTGTGATTCACCGAATGCTGTACACCATCAGGCTCCAGCCCCAAACTCAGACTCAGCTGGGTGACTGCCTTGTGATCAGCATGTTGGAGCTGAACTCCCCTGTGTATGGAAAAGTTCATCCAGCCCAGTGTTTACTGGTCAGGTTTAATTTGGGGGATGGTATGGTTTAGGTCTAGATGTTCCCCCAAAGCCTCATGTGGTGACAGGTAGGGGTTTTTCAGAGGTAGCTGAATCTAAAGTGTGATGCTGGGATTAAGGGTGTGTGATTACTAAATCAGTACACTCTGCCTGCCTTGAAAGCACAAGGACTGGAGTTCGATCCCCGGTACCCCACAAAAAAGAAAAAAAAAAAGTGGCAAATCAGTACACTGATTGGTTTGGCACCGCCCTAATCCCAGTACCCTGGATACAATATAAGGAACAGAAAGAGGCTTGTCTTCTCCCTTTGCTTGCTGCTTGCTTTTGCTGTCTTCTGCTTGCCATGAACTGATTCACTTGGTCAACGTCTTTCTGCCATGCTACCCTGCTTTGGAGCCAGCCGATTATAGACTGAAACTTCTACAAACTGTGAGCTAAATAAACCTTTCCTCCCTTGACTTGTGAGTGTTGGATAGGTCGTCTTATCAATGAAAGAAAAGTAACTAAGACAGGGCAAGTGGTAAAAAGCCCTATTTTATTCTTGTGCTTAAATTATGATCTCCAATGCCATTGAAAGTGATGACTGTATTTCAGTTCTTTCTTGTGTGTATAGGGAAGGAAGGTATGCTTCCTCTGATCCCTTAATGTGTCTTATAGTATGTGAGCTCATAAAGAAGGGAAATGTGCTGAACTGGTTAGTTTGCTTATAAAAGGCACACTGGCTTATTGGAGGGTTTGCTATCTCTAAGAGTTATCCTGGGAGGGGCAGTTCCTTCAGGAACT